GGGGGGGGGGGGGGGGGGGGGGGGGGGGGGGGGGGGGGGGGGGGAGAAAGAGAGAGAGGGCAGCTTCCCACCTTGGTATCCACGTCCGCCAGGCAATCGCGGCGGAACTGGTCGAAAAGGCCTTGGCTCTTGAGGCGATTCAGGATGAGCGACACCAGCTCCGGCTCGGCGGCGGCGGTGGCCGCGGAGCTCCCCGGCGGCGGAGGCGGAGGCGGTTGTGGTGGAGGTAGCGGCGGAGGCGGCGGGGGTGGAGGAGGTGGCTGTTCGGGAGGAGAAGTGGCGGCGGCGGTGGCGGAGACCCCGGCAGGAGCGGCGAGGGTGCCACCACTGCCGGACATAATGGCGGCGGCAGCGGCGGCGTCACCCTCAGCGGCTGGTTCCGAGCCGGGATCGCGGTGAGGCTCCACCCTCTCCCGCACAACCAGCGACCCCGGAAGCAGAAAGGGGAAAAAGCCGGAAGAAACTCTGACGACACGGAGGAGGAGGAGGAGGCTACCTTCCTTAAGCCGCGCCCCTTGCGATGACGCCACAGGGGATTCCGAATTTCCCGCCGAGGGAGGAGCATAGCCGTTTCCCTCTTGGCTTTCACGACAACATCCCTGAGGGGCTGAGGCGCCCGGGGCAGAGGCATAAATGGGGGTCTGTGGTCGATTGAGACTTCTTTGTTGGTTCCTCTTGTCCTTCAATAAAGCTCAGGGTCTTCTTTCCTTTCCTCCCCACAACAACTCCACGAGAGAGGCTGGAGCTAATTTGGAGGGGGGTTTATCCTTCCTTCCTTCCTCTTTCTTCCTCCTTTCCTGCCTCCCTGCTTTTCTTTCTCTTTCTTTCTTTCCTCCTTCCTTTCCTTCCTTCCTCCAGGCTGGAAGTGAATTTCTAGTTTAGTTTTAGATTAATTCTGACAGGATTGGGTGTGTGTGTGTGTGTGTGTGTGTGTAAAGATCATGTTTCTTTGCGGTCCCCTGCACTCTCTGAAAGCTGTGGAGACCTCTTGTGGGTTCATCTGCGCCCTGGATCAGAGTGCAAGTGGAGGTATAATCTTCTCTGCTGAAAGGACTGTGTTGTGGACAGGGGATAGGTGGTGTCTTCCCACCCCCACTCATTCACTCCAGAAAGGTTGGGCTGGAAGTGAATTTCTATAAGTGAACCCTATGGATCAGTGGTGGCTAACCTTTTGGGGCTCCTGTGCCCAAAATTGTGCACACTTGCGCTCAACCGCTCGTGTGCCAGCATCCAGAAGGCAAATACATGCACCTGTGTGCACATTTTTATTTATTTTGATTTGTCAATAGCTTACAAGATAATAGGTATAAGTATATACATAGTTATGAATACATGAAATGGGTACATATAAGAAAAACAGAAGAAACAATAGGACAGGGATGGTAGGCACGTTGGTGCGCTTATGCAATCCCCCCCTCGCCATCCCCTTATCTGCACTGTGCCTCACAGCTGATTTTTGGCCAGTTTGAGGTCTTTTTCGGCCTTCCAGAGGCTTGAGGAAAGCCTCTGCAGGCTTTTCAGGATGAATAATAGGCCGTTTTGTCACTTCCGATATTTCCAGAAATACAGGAAGTGATGAAATGGGCCTAATATTCGACCTGAGAGGCCTGCAGAGGCTTTCCTCAAGCCTCTGGGAGGCCAAAAAAGGCCTCCAAACAGCTGAAAATCAGCTGTGAGGCGCGTGCATGCACAGTGAGGTAAATTTGCCTGTGGCTCGCGTACCGGTATAAATGGCTCTGTGCAACCTGTGGCATGCATCCCTTAGGTTCGCCATCGTGGCTATAGACCCCATCCCTGCCTGTCCTCCAGTCACTGCTATGCTTTGCAAATCTGAGCTCATTTTGCAGGTTTACAGCAGCTCCTCTCCATGTGTCTGGCTCTAGTTCAGGAATCCCCTTAGTCTTAGGGGTTTTCATGCAGTTCCACCATCTTAATCATGTCATCTTTGCTTTCTGTTTCCCATCCCTAGCAGATCTATGTCTTCTCTCTTGGATCATGTGCAGTTTTGGAAAAATGGATTCACTGAATATTGAAAACTTGTAGAAACTCAACACCTACCGTCCTAGAAGAATGAAATATTTTGATGAATATTAAAAAGGCAGAATATTATATTTCCCTAAATGAGAAATGGAGAAACGTGGGTTTTTTTTAGAGGCAAGAAGCAGGCTCACTGACTCACTGTCAGGTCCCATATATTTCTATTGGGATGCTGGCATTCTGGTGGGAGGGGGAAGGATTGGAGAGATCTCTATATGAAGTTTATGTTTACTGCATTGCTGTGCTGTGAGTTTCTGTTTCTGTTTCCTGCCTTGTACTATGGGAAGGGTTTTGTTTGAACTGCTTTAAATTGCTGTTTTTAAGTGGGAAAATTTAATTCCTGCCTAGACCTCTTGCTAGCACAAGCCTTTCAATAAAAGCTCCTTTTGGAATAAGAACAGGACATGACTACTTTCAAGAGTCCTGCTTTCTTGGGAAGATTGGAGAGGTGAGATCTTTCACTCTTTCTTTCTTAATAGCCCCCCCCCCCCCCCGCAGCAGATATTTTGTGCCCATTAAGAAAGACTGGGCCAGCCTATCTACAAAACAAAAGACCTTCAGCTTCAGGGTGATGGGATCAAGAACAGGACATGACCTTTCAGGACATAATAGGATTAACCCACTACCATTTAGCAGAAGACACAGAGCTCACTACACTGCACAACCTAAGGGTATTTCAGATATTGCACCACCCCAGAGCAGACAAAACTTCAACCAAACGTAGCTCAGACAAGTACCTAGGATTTGCATTTTCTCTTTTGCTTATAGAGCCAGCTATGATCCCTACACACCCCCTACATGACCCCATAGGAATCAGCTAACAGCCAATAGAAGACATTCTTGCACAGGAACAGGAAGCTCAAATACAAAGTTCAAGGAAGGTATAAAAACTCCTCTCTCTCAACTCCATTTTGTCAGCTGCCCAGAACTACAAACCCATGTGGTTCTGCTTCATCAACAAACCATCTTTCCAATCAGCCTCCATGTTTCCAGTGTCTTTCTCCCAGCTTGGAACTGAACCAGATGGATATTTCTTCCTACAATTTGGCAGCTAAGATGGGACTCCAGGCTAACCTGACCAACAGACCTGGCCCGGGTAAGCCTCCCTTGCGGGTAACAGACCCACTGTGTGAGTGGGTTCCCCTAGACCTTGGCCATTTGGAATAAGGATAGTAGTGTTGAGCTCAAAGCCTGCCTGGAAAGAAGGCTAGGACCTCTAAAATGTAGCTTTAAAGCCCAGAAAGCAAGGGAAATGTGTTTGTGTGAAAGGACTCTTCTCCCAATCACAGATGGACATTTCTTCCTACACTGTCTTAAATCTCTTGTTTTTCATTGTTATCCCCAGGTACTTTGACCACCAGGAGCCACCACATAGCCAGTTTCATCCTTAGTGGACCCACTAAGGTCACATGTGGGTAGCCAGATGTTACTCTAGGACAGAGTTTCTCAACTTTGGCCTCTCAGATGTGTGAACTTCAACTCCTTTGCTGACTAGGGGATTCTAGAGTAATAGTTGGGGAAATATTGCTCTATATGAGATTCAAATCTTCCCTGAGTATTTGCACATAAGGATCTACCCACTTAAATGACCATATGCAATAAGGACCTTTTCATCTTCTGGCGCTTATTATATCTGAAGAGTCCAATAAGGATGGAAGCAATAATTTGTTGCCTTCTGGTAGTCAATGCAACTGAAAATGCCACATGGACACACACTAAGTAAAAATAGAGAAATTTCATCTGCTCGACGAGAGAAGATGCAAGTCATGCAAAACCCTGCACACGGGAGCAGAACATAATGGAACATCTGGATTTTTCTCCTCAGAGCTTAAGGGAAGGTAGATTGTCTACACCAGTCTGATAGCCATTGGTATCCTCTGTTTCTTTGCATTACTTACTTCTTTCTCTCTGCTACAACTTTTAACTTATAACTCCCATCTTTTGCTTTCTTCATTGTTTTCAATATATCAGTGGACAGTCATGTCACCTTCCTACACTTTTTACATTTCAGGATATTTTTATATGTTTCATGCGACGGCACGTGATGATGAAAAGGTTAGCCATCACTGTCCTAGTGCCTATTACAGTACATACAAAATAATTACCCAGTCTATATAATTCTAATGTTAATACACATGTTTTTTGTTAAAATATGTTCTTGAAGGATCTTTTTTCTCTTTTTCTATCCATCATTTCTTGTCCTGCATCAGTACTTCAAGTCTTGTTCTTTTTTTGACTTGCCTCCCATATTCTTCTTTTAAATCTTTGCCTCTATCTACTTCTACATCTGCATCCTGACTGTTCAATCTAACCTTTTCTCTCCTCCCTACCCTTTTCCACTGTTTAATGTTAAAACTATCTGTTCTAACCCCATCTCCTTTTCCACAATATCTTCCTGTTTCCCCATTCTCTTTTTAAATCTTTTAAAGTGTTTTCCTCTGTTTTGGATTCCTTAGTCATCATTAATGTTGATGATATCTCCTCTTTGTTGTCTTCTTTTCAATGGTTTCTCGGTTCTGCTTTTCCCTCCATTCCTTCTGCTGGTTCCTTCCTTACCTGAATGTCCTGGTCTTTGCTCATTGTCTCTTATGTTAGATATTTACATATATGCCCTGATTGGTTGGCCCGTGGCAGCGGGAAATTGAAGAGCTGTCTCTGGTTGCAGCCTGGGGGTAGAAAAGGAGCTGCTGGGGCTGTTCTTTGTTCTGAATGATGTAATAAAGAAACTTAATTAGTCGGAGCCTCCCACGTCTTCTCTTGCCCACGATTATATCTAACACCTGTGCTCACCGCTGGAGCACCCCGAGCCGGCTGGTTTTGGGGCTAAGCCACCCCTTAGAGGTGGTGAAGAGGGGGGAGACTGCCAGCAGGGTCGAGGAGAATTGCATCTCTCCTCCCCAGCTGGCCATTACTCCCTTTCCCAAAGGCGGTTGCAGCAGTGGTCAGAAATGGCCACCTCAAAGAAGAACCCGACCGGAAAAGAATGTGCAGGAGGAAGATAAGAGAAAGTTTTGGCTGACCAGGTCGAACTGAAAAAGCAACAATTATAAGGTACCCTGGAATTTGAACTATAAAGAACAACATTGCTCCCAAATAAGACTTTGAAGCGGCGAATGAGAGAGGGAAGGGAAAGGATTCGGCTTTTTTTTCTTCCCTTCCCCATATTGACAACTAAGATTTAAGCAAGAAATTGACAAAAATCCACTTTGACATCAACAGGCATTTAAGCTGAAAATAAAATGTCAAAGGGATAATAAAGACTTTTGGATACTCAAAAACCTTTAAAAGAAGGAAAGGAGAGAAAAGCAAAAAACAAAAAGGGTGGGATCTAGAAAAATGGAGGAGACCACCTGGAAGTGAAAGGAATTAACAGTGAAACTTT